AGAAGTAGCAGCAGCAGGAGTAGTAGTAGTAGTAGTAGTAGTAGCAGCAGCAGCAGCAACAGTAGCAGCAGCAGGAGTAGTAGTAGTAGTCGTAGTAGTAGTAGTCGTAGTAGTAGTAGTAGTAGTAGTAGTAGTAGTAGTAGTAGTAGTGGTCGTAGTAGTAGGTGGTGGTATTAGTAGTAGTAGTCGTCTTAGCAGATGATCTCAGGAAAGCAGCAGTACTCAAGTCGGAGCATGGCACGGAAGAGGGTCCTTGAGCAATCTCGCGCCCTTCTCACGGTCCTCCCTTGAGACGTATCGGTCCGAGGTCAGCACACCCTGCACTGCGGAATTGAAACAGACTTCATGGAACTCATGGCTCTCAGCTGCAATGTTCAGCGACTTCTCAGCACGGGATGGACATCCCCCAACTTTGCTGCGGCAGAACCCAAAACCCCAAACCCGCCGGACCCACCTTGACTTCGTACTTCTCCTTCATCTTCACGCCTGCAAAGCTCTCACCCCCAAAGAGCCCTGGCAGCCGTCTTGGCACCCCAAGCATCTCCTTATAGTCTTGGCAACATCATAAAAAACTACGAGCACAATAACTCGAGTGATGTATTCTGATAGGTGATGATGGATGGAATGTGAACATGTATATGGTACCGTAGTAGTCATGACTTATACATCAACAATCACCGCGATGCTTGCAGCCGCAAGGCTGAGGACCAAAGTAAAAACTGTGGCATCACTGGCCTGCTGCGAACGGATTCTGAAGTACGACCAGGTAAGCGGGCTTCGGCTCCTGCGATGGATGCCAAGAATGCTTCCGCATGCATTAGCTATATCTACGGCAGGATATCAAATCCTGACCGATACACTTCTCTGATCCGTGTGTTCATGTATGTCTTATAAGTCTTAATGAACTTGAGTTTGAAGGCCCCAAGTCAAAGACACCCAGCAGCAAACCCTACAGGCCCTACAATCTTTCAGCTAGGCTGTAAGCCCTAAATCCTAAACCCCTAAACCCTAAACCCATCGGTGTCCTTTGGAAACTGCAGGCTGTACAGGCCACAGAAGCGTGGCCTCACCACTGGCGGCACAGCACAGCAGAAAAATCAAGAACAACAACGAGTCAAGTCTTGGGGGTACCCCGGTTGCTCTCCGGGTCAACAACCCACCTTATTTCCAGTATCGCTGGCTGTGGCTGACATCGTCGCTGTTGGTGTCAGCTACTGGTGTCTCGATGTGGTTGGCTAGTTGCTGAACGTTGCGGCGCTTGTGGTGGTTGCTGTTATCCGTGATGTCACTATCACAGCTGCCAACTACTACTGTTTAATTTCAACGACTGTCGCTGCTGTCATACCAGATATGCCAGTGAAAAGTACAGGACACAGATGCGACGTTTTACTGAGAATGATGCTGGCAATCGCATTCCTTTGTCTCCCTTATCCACCTTACTAGTATTCTACACCTTGGTGTATTGGCACTGCTGCCACCGCTGCTGTTGCACTGGTACTGCCATTTTGAGACACCTGTCTGAATTTTCGTCTTGCCCGTTTAGGCTTTAGCAGGGCAGAAACTTGGCTGCAGGCAGTAGCGACGAAGGTGAGCCTAGCGCTGATGAAGCCAGGCGAATGCAGCTCACCAACTCAGAAGCATGCTTCTCTCGGCATACCAGCTCACGCATGACAGGGCTGTCCCAACCAGGATGCCTTCAACTCCGTTACAGGTTCGGCATTCTTCCGCTAGACTTGCTCCACAAGCCCGCGGTCGACTCTCTAGAAGCAGCTGTTGGTTTTCAGCCGCTTTCCGGGAAAAAACGTTCCGCTTCAGCGAGGAGCTGTTGTACTATGCGATCTGTCAAGAGGCCATAGAGGCTGACGCTGGTCATGATCTTACACTTTGATACTCCTGCCGGCCGAATGTGCAAGCATAGAGAGGTTCAGATTACCGGACGAAGACGTCAGATCGGCACACTGACAGACTGGCATCTTTGGGCACAGTCCATGCTGTAATAGCCTATTTTGACAGGGCTTGGGGGCTCTTCAAAGAACGAACCGAGTGGTTGAAGCTCACAATCTGCTCCGTCTCCAGGGATAGATGGACTCTTGGAAGGCCGGCGTGACCTGCAGAAGACCCCTCTACAGTAGGTAAAGCAGACAAGTAATTCCATCGAAGTATCCCTAGGGCTCCAAGTATACAAATAGGACCTACTTTGGGGTCTAAAGTCTATAAATAATGCCTACTTTGGGCTATTTGGAGCCCCAGGGTATTGCAAAAAAAAACCGTGTCTGAGTCTGAGGGAAGCCATGGAGTGAATCCAAGTTGGTCCCAAAGGGACCTCCTCCGTATTCATGGGGTTCATCTTGGCCTGTGCTGACTCCCAGAGAGCCTCGTACCTTAGAGGAAATCCATTGTAGTGCTCAGGGGGCAGGAAGCGGTGTGAAAAGAAACCTGTGTAAGCCAAGCCGTCCCCACCTCTCTGGTAGGCATGTGTTCCATCACATAAATGTCCAAAACAAGAGCATCGTGTGAACTGCAGCAACTTCCGTTAACGCCGACACTGGCTGATGTTACTTTTCCCAGCGGACCAGTGCCGAGTACACGGATGTACACGGAACCACAAGGCTGGCGCTACCTGCCCGATTCTGGGCAGTGCCCGCGATTACTTGGCGCCTTGCACACATCCGACAGTGCCTCGTATGACTTGGCAGAACTTGTGGCTCTGGAGTTGAGGCTTCAGTGCCTTGACCGCGGCATTCTGAGCTTGCGCAAGCCCTGCTCGTGCCGCCAGGAGGCACGCGGCCATCACGCCGGCCGAGTGCCGAGTTCCTCACTGCCACACCGAAGCCCATGGGGCTTTAGGGTTTAGTAAATTTAGGGTCTCGGGTTTGGGGGGCCTCGACCTTGCAGCTAATAGGCAACTCACCAACCTGATCGAGAATCATATTGATATCAAGATAGAGTCTTAGAAGCATCTGGTTTGATGAGAAGCAAAACTCAGCATAGTCGCAATCCTAGTCGTGTAATCAAGTCATCATGAAGCACAGTCCCTTTCCTGACAAGAGCGCTAGGTTCCTGTGGTGGAACGAAGGTCTCGAGTGTCCAGAGTGATCAACGCACACTTCGCAGCAAAACTTGGGAGCTTCGCATAAGGGGGTTTCCGAAAATAGGGGACCCTAATATAGTACCCCAAATAATCGGATCCTTATTATAAGGACCCCAAAATAAGGTACCCCTCACTTTCGGAAACTCCCATAATGGTCGTCTCGTACCAGCCATGAAACTCTGCCGGCAAACCGTAACCACCAAGGTGAGCTCCCTAAACTCTTAGGGTTTAGGGTTTAGGGTTTAGGTAAACGTGAGACCCTATGCCAACGCCCCATGTAACCCTTAAGCCGCTTGCCAAGCTCAAGCCTTCCCAACCCCAAGAACTGAAAGCTGCCGTAAACCTACGGCCATGAGACCCGACTACCTGAAACTTCTGGCGAACCCAAAACCTCTGCCCAAGGGGCAGGGAGTGATCGGAGTGGCCCCAAGCATCGACCAAAGGTACCGCGTCAGCACGGAGCACCTGAAGAGGACGGAGCTTTCGTGGAACCCGGGAGTGTATGGGTATAGGGGTCTATAAACCCTAAACCCTAAACCCTAGGGCTTTAGGGATCTTTAGGGCACTTTAGGTTGAGGGTTCTTTCGGCTTTGGCTCTGAGGTTCGAGGTTTAGGAATCCGACTCTGAGGCTCGTGAGACTTACGGGGCTGCAGATTTTTTTTTAAATGCAATGCGCCCCCTTTCCCATCTGCACGAGCGAAGGAGCGTACTCCAGGTTTAGGGTTTAGGCTGTGGATGTCCTTACATTGAAGTGACCCGAAAACGAACCATGATTCCGTGCGTGAGGGGTTCGGCGGGGTTAGGCCAGGCTGGGGAGTTCCCTAAACCCCTTAACCCTTATATAACCCCAGAAACCCAGAACCCTAAACCCTATAACTCCTAAATCCAGAACCCTAAACCCTATAACTCCTAAA